TCAAAGGAAACTGTTCTACACGCTGAAGCTTAGTCACTCAGTTTCCCCTCCAGTCTCAGAGGTAAAAGAACTGATATTCTGATAATCATACTCTACTAGTTTTAAGGGAGTTTTACACATTAAAGTCATTTTAAAGCTCGTGTTATAAACTTCAGCTGACTGTAAGTGAGTCAGATGAACAAACGCCAGCTGGTGGTTTAGTTCTACACAGTGAACGGTGAAGAGGGCAGTAAAGAGTCACTGCAGCGTATCCTGAAATTAAAAGTGAAATATTCACCCTAGACCCATTTGCCACAAACTGCTGAGGTGAGTAGCAGCACACAGTCTGTGTCTTACAGAAAATGTAATTATTCGTTTATTCATTCTGTTTATGAAACAATGTTTTCATCTGTTTATCAGTAGTATGTGTGTAAGTAATTGACTCTTAATCTAGAACTGAAAAACTATTTAGAAAGAAAATCAGACTGAAAAATAGCTCCCAAAGTCTAAATAGGTTTAAATTCATTGAAATTGAATGTAAAATTGTCATTATCTGATGGCATAATATCTGATCAAATGTACACAATGGAGTTCTGGGTGTGTTCTCTAACAGTGCTCTTGCTATAAAGATAAGACAAGATAAGATAAGATAATCCTTTTTTAGTCCTGCAACGGGGAAATTCTCAGTGCTACAGCAGCAAAGCGAGAGCAGGACACTCAAAAAGGGAAGAAGAGAATTAACAAGCAAAGTAACTAACCTTATTAATTACTTAACAAGGTTTTACAGTTTGTTACTTGTTACTATATAGAGAATATATATAATACTAAAAGTAAAAAATGAAGATAAATAAAAACAAAGATAATATGAGCTCTATTCTTCACAAAAAATAACTATATAAAGAATTATAAATAAGTAAAAGCTTAAATATTTACACTGTATTGTAAATTGTAAACTGTCACTCCACAGTTTATGTTCTGCAGGTGAGTGAGGTCTAACGGGGGTGGAGGGGGTTCCACTGGGAGCAGTGCTGGTTGTTCAGTCTAACAGCAGCAGGAAGGAAACTGTATTTTTGTAGATTTTGCATGTGAAGCTATTGCTGATAAAGCGCTGTATGTGACAGCATCACAGATTATATGTCTGAGATCCTGTCTCAAGCAACTGTTCTCAAAGACGGATGCACTTTATTCACTGGTTTTGCGCACCAGGCGCTCTGCACGGCTGGTTTTTAGCTAAATGAAGATGAATGGGAATGCAGGTCTAAATTGGAGGAGAGATTAGTGGGTTCAGTCTGGGAGTGTCCTGAACTCCTGAGGTTTTTATGATATGTTGAAATGACAGCTGGCAATGAGAAAGAAAACTAACCCATACATTCTAGGAGGATGTTAACAACACAGCTACTGACAGTTGTGTCGCCTGCACTGAACCAGAAACAGCATTCAGAACCGTAATGTTTCCCCCTCTGTTACAGCTCACTGCCTGCTTCTGTATTTCAGCAAAGTACAGAGGAGTGAGCAGATGCTGTAGTGCAGCCTGACTGATATGGGCCAGAGGTTGGTAGCCTCGAGCTAAAAGAGGTGAGCCAACAAGAAAAGGTGCTGCTGGTGATGCTGTCCTGCTCCCAGACTGGCCATGGTTCAGCAGCAGAATGACCAGTTTCCCTTGTAATAAAGTAACCTGAAATAAAATGTAACCAAAGGCACAAATACTGAACTTTTTAAACGCTTTAAACATTATTAGCCTCACATGAAAATCATTAAGCGTCTGTGAATTTTCTGGAGGTTTTGGGTCACTTCTGCAGTCTTCAGAGCGAATATTCTTGCACATCTGGACACTCCACACCTGGACACTTTATCTCAGTACCAATATCTGCACATATTTATTCAGCATTGTCATTATATGCTGTTACCTGTGCCCCCTTGTACAGTCATCATTGCACTGCCTTTTTTTATCTCAGGAGAGATCTTATTGCACATTTTTGTATATGTCTAGTTGTATATATGCCTGTAGATGGGTTTTATGTATATATTCTTCTTTTTATATTTTATCACCCTTATTGTTATAACTGTGCTGTGTAGTGTGACTGATACTGGCTGGTAAATTTCCTTCGGGATCAATAAAGTATCTATCAGCCTGCTGATCATGAGCTCTGTGATTGGTGTGGAGCTCTCCAAAGAGCATGGTGATCTAATAAATAATAACAGATATTCCTAGATAGCCTGTACATTACAGTAACACAGCTAATACAGTTATATCTGTAACAGTTTTTGTTGTACCTTCCTTTATTTTTTGGTCAATTTCTTACAATTCATCACTGTCAGAGCAAAACCTCTTATTTGCAACACATTAACAAGGAAAAACATTCTTGAGTTTTAATGAAAGTCAATATAACAATATGTTTTCCCAAGTAATTCTGGACCATTTCTGTTGGTCTGTTCATCATAAAACAGAGTTTTCAAATTCTGCAAAAAAAGTAAAGAATGACAAAAATGGAGATACAAGGTTTTTGTGTGACAGCAATGATATAAAACTGTTTATACTTTATTATATATAAACAGCTGATCTCACTGTATCAGATATTATTGAAAAAAGAAGAGACTGGCGCTTTCACTCTGAGGGGGACATCAGTCAGAGACCACTGAAGAGGATGCTCACTCAAAACGTCACAGGTGAGCAAACTGTGGGTTCTGTAAAACCCAATATTGTAATAATTTCCCGATAATGTAATAATGTCCAGAAATGTAATAATATTTTGCATTAAACTTGGTCAAAAATGTAATAAAAGTCTGTAATGTAATAACTTACAATAAAAATGTAATACAATATCTTAACTGATAACCTAATAATATTGTACTGATAACATAATCCATCATTACATCATTGGGACTGTTATATTTATAAGGTGATCATCTTTCCAAATGAATACTTCAGTCAAATAATGTCACACTTTAGTCAATATTCTACATTTTGGGTCATGTTTATAGTTGAGTTAAGCAGGGACAGTGTGGAGATAACCAACACTGCATTTATCAATACTCAGACCCCAGACACATCGACAGACTCAAACGCTGCTCAGACAGTTGCGCTATGTGTGAGGAGTTCGTGCACAACAGGCACAGTTTCCACAGTTCTGACTTTACCTTTTCTAGTGAAACAGACATGATTGTGGGTGGGACATCATTTTATTCTTCATGACCTGATTAGACAGTGAAAAGCAGGAGTTCCAGAACGAACATGAAGTCAGACTCTAACGGTCAACAGAATCTGTTTTTAAAGAAAAGCCAATGAATAAAAATAAATAAACACAACCATGTTTGTCAGAAACTGAAGTACTACAACATTTTGATGTGTATTTTCTGTAGTTTCTGAAAAGATTCATTAATTATTGGAAGCTTGATTTTAAACATGCAGAACTATTATTGGTTAGTATAATTTTTCCCAGCCGCTGACACAGAGTGACACAGCAAAATGTCAGATGGCGTTTAGAGGCAGCAGAAATCACTACACTTTAATTACAGAGAAACAAGCATTTTGTCTTTTGAATAATACAACACAATGCAGTGTGCTGAAGGTGACCATGCATATGAAGTCCATTTTGATTTCAGGTTGACTTTAAAGTCCAGTGCCACTGTCGGACTAACTGCTGTAACCACAATATTTGTTCCAGAAATTTTTGGGCGATGTCAAAACCAACCTACAGAACTGTATCTATTCACGGTGCAGAACAAGACATACGTTTATAAGATTATAACAGTATTGCTATTATGCAAACAAGAACCAACTATATAGCCAAAACCTGTACATCCATATTCAGCATCTGCTCATTCAAAACGTTTTTACGATGAACGCCAGATGCTCACTGTGTTGTCATCAGTGGAACAAAATACTACATATAGGTAATAATTATCCCTGATCAAGCAATAAGCAGTTGAAAAGTTTGTCTCTTCACAAAATGTGAAGTTCCAACATATATATTCTACAGAAACATTAAAAAGAGCAGTTGTTAAATGGCCAGGGTCCACCAGCGGGCCCAAAGTTTTCTTAAACATATCTATAACCTAAGAATAGCTCAACCAGTTTGCACTGAAGTCGCTATAGTTACTAAGTAATAAGACTTGGTATGTAATAAGCCTGAGCTTTAAAGTTAAATTAAATCCTTATGTGCAAAAGCTTTAGGTAATGCTGATGTGCTTCACACCAGCCTTTACAACCCAGAAATGTTTCTTCATTCTTTGGATGTTTTCCTCCAGTTCTTCTAGAGAGAACTTCTTCTTTCCGTGTTTACTTTTGGAGGGTTTCTTTTTTCTGTCTGCTTATCAAAGGTTCTTCTAGAATTTGCTCTTTTTCTGTATGGTTTCCTCCAGATCTTGTAGAGATAATTTCCTTCTCTGCCTTTGTGCAGTTCTTCTGTAGTCAATGTTTTGTCAGCTTTCCTCCAGTTTTTCTAACTTTATTCTTTCTCTTTGTTTTCTTCCAGTTAAGGAATTTCTTGCCTTCCTACAGTTCTTATACAGATCATTTCTTTCTGTTTGGTTTCTTCATGCACTTCTTGAGGTCATTTCTTCATCTGCTTTTCTCCAGTTCTTTTCATTTTTCATCATTTCTTACGTTTGCTTTTTTCCACCTTTTTTTCTTTTTGTTGTCTTCAGTTGATTAAAATATGCTCTGTATATCAACATTTCTGCAATTCTAATTAGCCACTTTGTGGATGGTCACTGGCAAGCCATGGTAGATCAAATATTCTAAATTCAAATACAGCAGCACCAGAAAAGAGATTTCCACAGACTGAGTAAACCAGTAAAGCACTGACCACTTCAGTGATCGATGACTGCAGTCGGATGTTTCTAAAACCTAAAAGTACATAACATTAATTGCCTTCTGGAGGTGCTTAAACTGTGTTTAACTGCAGCCAAATACACCACAGACAACTTAGTCAACAAAACAAAATCACATTCATGCTGTGTGCTGGTTAAAGAAACATATCCGTGTCTTTCTGGATGGTAACTGTAATTTCTGTTTGTAGGAAAACTGAAGTATCTGCGCTGTGTGTCTGGAAACGTCCTGGATTCAGACAGGGACTTTTTGAGAAAGCTGAAAGAACGAATGTTCAGCCTGAAGGAGGTGTTTAATGTGGAGGAGTGCGACTTCATTCTGCTCTTCTGTTCTGTTGCTTCTCGAATTGAAAATGATATTGTAGAAACGCTGAAAAAGCTTCAGCACGTTTCAGGTACCAGCTTTATTGTTCTAAAGTCTCTGAAGAAAATAAACAATTTGGATATGGATTGATAGAATGACATTATATGATGTTGCATACATATATTGTTTTCTTTGCTGCAGACTCCAAGCCTGCAGTTCTAGTGGTTCTCCATCACACATTTGACCCAGACTGCACTGTACCAGACAGCAGCAGAGCAGTAACCAGAGAGAGAACTCTCACTGTGGACTGTCTGTTCCACGAGGATAGAGGACTCCTGAGATGCCAGACGAATCAGGAAGCTCTGGAGAGAGTTAAACAGTGGATAAAATTTCAGGTAATTAATAATTCAACACAGTTCCTTTATTACTATTATAGGAGTGTTTGTAGTATCTCTCATACTTCATCCACTGAACTCAGAGCCACAATCGGGCACAGGTGAACAGGCCAATGTGTCTGGGCAGAAACAAGAAACCATTTTTTGTGAGCGCTGGATGCTGCAGACATACCGTCAATCTGCCTGGAAGGATAGCACTGTTTACGATGACAAGTCAGGACCACAGCCTCTGATTGGTCAACAGACTCGACCCAAGGCGTGAGTGTACGACTAACAGCCATGCTGACAACAACAGTAACTTTTCAACACAGAGAAATAATCACAGAGGACGTTCAGTGTTGGGTTTGCCTTTATGGATTTATTTTACAGTGTCCAAAAAGACTCAAGTTCAAGGCTGGATTACTGAAAGGGATACTATCGCACCAGAGCCCACAGTGAAACTGAAAAACAGGACATGGAAAATGGAAATCATCATCATCATCATCGTTAACCGCTTAGTCCAGATGGGGTCGCGGTAGCAGGTGGGAGAGCAGAGAATCCCAGGTGACCCTGTCCCCCGCAACTTCCTCCAGCTCATTCCCGGGGTCCCCAAGCCGCTCCCAGGCCAACCTGGAGATATAATCCCTCCAGCGGGTCCTAGGATGACCCCAGGGTCTTGTCCCGGTAGGCCGTGCCAGGTACACCCCCACCGGGAGGCGTCCAGGGGGCATCCGGATCAGATGCCCGAACCACCTCAGCTGGCTCCTCTCAATGCGGAGGAGTAGCGGCTCTACTCCGAGCTCCTCCCGGATGGCCGAGCTCCTCACCCTATCAAATAGAGTGTAGCCCGCCACCCTGTGAAGAAAGCTCATTTCCGCCGCTTGTATTCATGATCTCATTCTTTCGGTCATTACCCACAGCTCATGACCATAGGTGAGGGTCGGGATGTAGACCGATCAGTAAACAGAGAGCTTCGCCTTACGGCTCAGGTCCCTCTTCACCACTACAGTTCGGTACAGTGACCGCATTACTGCTGCCGCTTGTCCCAGCCTGCGGTCGCTCTCACCATCCCTCTTCCCATCACCCGGGAACAAGACCGCGAGATACTTAACCCCGGGGCAAGTCCTTTCCCCTTACCTGGAGTGGGCATGCCATTCTTTTCCGGGCTAAGACCATGGAAAAAATGAAAGCAAATCTGTCGCATGCAGCGTCCCCAAGATGTTTATTCTTTTATGTACGATGTCCTTTGATGTTGCATACATCATTGAGGGTTTAGGCTAAAGTTAGTTCTAGCTCCAGTCGTCTAGCACATAGTCACAGTACAACTTATAAAAATACTGGGAATCTCACCCAGTTATTAGTTGAATATTGTTGATTTTCTAAGCAGAACATACGTTAACATTCTCTACAGGGAACGTGTTTTATTGCATGGTTTTGGTAAGTTTAACTAATTGGAAAAATTGAACCTAGAAAACAAAGTATAGCAAACAGTGTGTGGCATAACTTGCTTGGCCACATTACGCTTTTCCCCCTTATATGACATAATTGAGTAAATAGACTGTAATTGTACATTAACATGTGCAGAATTGTGTTCTCTGTGTCAGAGGATGTGTTAACTTATTTTCACTTAGAAATTCGACAACACATGCAGAAACTTTTGCATATAACTGTAATTCTTTTAAGGAGTTGAATAGATTTTCTTTTTGACACTTTAATTTACCTTATTTCTTTATCCATCTGAAGCCATGTACTGGCCTGGGCTGCACAGCACCTGTAAAAGGACACAATGAAGGAATTTTAGCCAAACATTTTAGGAGTCTGGAGGCAAAGCATAAATAATAAACTAATAGGCTACACTGGATGAAAAAAATAACCGTATTAATCGGTAACAGGTTTCAAATTTACACTTCTGTTCTGGAAAAGTTAAGGATGATAATGTTTCAGGTTTTCCTGAAAACTGAACCAAATGTCAGTACACAGACAGAACCACCGAGATAAAACGGAGGGCTGCTTGATGTCACTGGATGGGTGTCGGATGTTTCATAACCTCAGACCATTTGTAGACACAATTCCTTCAAACATTCTGGAGCTTCGCAATGCTTGCTTTCCATGATGATGCGCTTCCCTTCCGTCTTACCCAGAGAAACAATAAGACTAGGTTTATCTAGCTTGAGAGCTTTTTTTGGTTACTTTTCAAACTGAAGCTGAATCATAAGTTGTTTTAAAAGAAAGAAGGCTAATAAGAAGATTCAAGGTTCAAAAGGTTCATCGTCCTATCCACAGTAAAACAGGTGATCATGATCTTACTCTGCTACTCCGCAGTACGGTGCAAGGAATAAAAAGGCAATGAACAGCAGATGTGTGCTTAAGAGTAACTATGGGAGTAAGTCAGTATTCTGGGGAGGAGGACCACTGGTGGCCAGATGGGGACTAGCAGGAGTGGGTCTAGAGGAAAGTAAAGTAGGAAAGTAGAGGAATCTTCTTTATTTATTAACGCTGGTCCCCAGTTTAAATCCTTCTTAAAACTGTGTGTTGTTCATAAGCTTATCAATTATTAAAAATAAAACTTTCTGAAATATAACACTAACTGGGCAAATGAGGAATTAGTATGCGTTATTATTCATATTAGGCATAATAGAATATGGGCATATTAAGGGTTTTACTCTTCAGGAGGGGGGCTGATGACCACAGGCTTTAAAGGGTACAATGGCTTTTAGAAAGAAAATAAATGTATTAAACCTTGCTTATGTTAAAAAAGAGATTAAAATTAATTAAAATTAAAGTAAAAATATATTTACCACTTATAGTTAGGTGGGATTGTTACCTTCTATATATATATTTTTTACCATTCCTTTGTCTTTTAAGGCCACAGGTATTGATGTATGTCACAGTCACACCATACGCTGGATTATAAAACTCATATACGCTAAATTTTTATCTGTCTTTTCAGGTAAAACATCAGTCACCGACACGTAAGTACTTCAAAGTTGTTACCAGTAGTTTTACATTACTATTCATATTACTAAATTAGATATTAATGGTAAAGTTTCTTGTTAAAAATTAAGAATTCACTGCTATGCACTGACATTCCGATCAAGTCTAATGTGCTTTTCCTCACTAAAAAATAACAGCAAAGAACAAAGCTCTATACCTCCAGGTGAGTCTTTTATCACTGCACTCGTTACACTGTAAACTTTACTGCTGAAAACAAAGTGTTAAAACCTTTCAGACGTTTTTAGATTTCAGCTAATTTAAGTCAGTATTCTGTTTTCTAGAATTCTTTATTTGATCAGATTAAAGAAAAAATCAAAGGGAAAGCAGAAGATGCATCAATGTGTGCAGGTGAGTCTGAGGAAATACGAATTAGTGGTTCTGTTATAATAATTCCTGAATGAAGTTTTACTGTTAGCAGAGCGACAGAAACAAATCCTACAGAGATAAAAAAGGTCCTGACATTTATAACAGTAAATTAAGTTTTAGTGATATATAAACCTATTCTATTCTGTAAAATCCAATAAGGCAAATGAAGTTCAAATAAGGATGGCCACCTGCTTTAGGTAACAATTTGTCCCTCAACTAGTCCTGTTTTTTCTTTTCCAAACAAACTGCAGTTTTCTGGTTGTCACTCAGCCTCACTGCCTGATAAATGTGTTTCCCATAGAATTAACAGAAAGGAACAAACAACTTGAACTTGAACTTCAGAGCAAGAACAAATCTCTAGAAGAAAAGAACGCACTTCTGAGGAGGATAAAGGATATATTGGCACCAATTATCAATGAAAACCACAGAAACCTGGAAGAAACACAACTCAAATGTCTGAGTGGTCTTCTGAGTGAAATAGATAAGGAGCTGGACAGCAGAGCCAGAGAGGAGAAACTGGTGACAACAGAAAGGGAGAATAAGCTCCTCCGAATAAATATGCAGCTCCAGAGCATAAATGAGAACAACAGCACGCAACTACAGAGCATGGACGAGAAGAGCACGCAACTACAGAGCATGGACGAGAAGAGCACGCAACTACAGAGCATGGACGAGAAGAGCACGCAACTACAGAGCATGGACGAGAAGAGCACGCAACTACTGAGCATGAATGGGAGTAAGAGCACGCAACTACTGAGCATGGACAAGAAGAGCACGCAACTACAGAGCATGAATGGGAGTAAGAGCACGCAACTACTGAGCATGAATGGGAGTAAGAGCACGCAACTACTGAGCATGAATGGGAGTAAGAGCACGCAACTACTGAGCATGAATGGGAGTAAGAGCACGCAACTACTGAGCATGAATGGGAGTAAGAGCACGCAACTACTGAGCATGAATGGGAGTAAGAGCACGCAACTACAGAGCATGGACAAGAAGAGCACGCAACTACTGAGCATGGATGAGGATGAGAGCATGCAACTACTGAGCATGGATGAAATCTACACGTCAGATTCCCTTTCAGACACTGTGGGACGTATTCTAGAAAGAATGCTAACAAATACCAAGGAATACAGACAGAAGGGGGGCTGTTTTAATGCCTCATGTGTAGAACCTCCCCAAAACACACCTAACAGCAGCATCCAGCGCTCTGGGGAGGATGAGAGGCCTACATCTGATAGTGAACACACAGAATTTTGGGTGTAGAATGACTCTGATGGACTATGATAAGTAATAAAGTATCCTCCCATGATACCAATCACATGACCAGTTGTCCAGGACAAGTGAAAGTTTGTGTTGGACAAACAGATGATGAATATACTCGTCTGATGAGACAAGTAAAAACAGAGGGCAAACAAATGACTTTACAGAACAGGACCAATGTGTTCTGAGAGGAGTCAGCTCTTTAATAATAGTCATTATACCATAATACCTTAAATGTGCTGGTTCCCTAGCAGAGTAGATTACCAAGGCACGAGCGTAGTGGTTACAAACAGTGAATATGTTAATAACAGCAGCGAAGCTAATCAATCAGAATATTGTTAAACCTCCAACATGTCCCGGCAACATGTTCAATTCTAAGAGGGAACTAAGACAGATTCCCAGTTGAAGAACAAGGGGTGTTTTGCGTTACCTGCACTGCGCACCCCAATATGGCTAAGAAGTAAGTAGCTACATTAGCTGCTAAAATAACCGTCAAACCACATGGTTTACTGACACAAAGTGTCATAAGTGTGCTTTTTTATCACAAGTTTGAAATACATTGTTATTGTACAAACATTAAAATATAAAAAACTCACACTTTCCAACTTTCTCAACACTCTCCACTTTCCTTGTCAAGGACTTTGTTAATGCAAGCTAATAAGTGTTTTCAATTTAATGTCTTTTATTGAACTTTAGTACTCCATCTGGTTACTTAGCGCTAGCTGATTTACCCCAGAAAGCAATGTAAATCAGTAAGAAGAGACGGAGAGGAAAGAAAGAGAGAGAGAAATAATATAACAGTAACCCTGCTAACCCTAACCTGTGTGGATTTAAATGCTAGCAAAAACAGAGCAGGAATTAGCTTTGTGCTACACGTATAGTTTACAGCAGTAGTGTTACTGGTAATGGTTCCTGCATTTTGGTTCCAGAACATACTGCAACTGCATTTTGTTGGCATGTAATAAATTAGAAATTTAGGGATGAACTGGGTTGTATTGTCAGTTACACTGAGTGTGAAATAAAGTTTCTTGAATCATCTGCTTATGCAGTTTTTTCTACTTAGTCTGTCTGGTAATCAGTAAACATAAGAGACCAGATGCACAGGCCCAGTGAAAATGTGCCTTAATTATAAACATAATGCACCTGAAATTAAAATGAGATTAACTAAGACTACACCGACAGTTGTAAAAAATAAAAGTGAAGTAAAAGAACCTCTGCAGCAAATTTTTTCTGCAAATGTTAATGCAGTGTTACTTTTTAAAATCTGATTTACATAAAAAATAGAAAAGTCTTTCTATTCTTGTTTTAGAAATTTTTTAAGATCTGTGGAAATGATGTTCAAGTCAGGGGGCTGTAAGGGCCATTCTAAAAGCTTAAGCTTGTTCATGGTGCGTTTTGAGGTATGTTTTGGATCAAAGTCGACCTGTTTTCAGCTTCAGTTTCCTGCCTGACTGTGTTTCTAAAATGCCTCTAGATGTTTTGCATACTTTTGTGATGAGGTGACAGGTGACATTTTCTTCGGATTCTTCCTTGACTTCCATGCAGATCATGTTTGTGACAACCACTCCTGTATCAGCTAAACCTTCCTCAAGGTCCTTTGCTGCCACATGGGTGGTTTTGCTCTGTCTTTCTGTCCAGCATACAAGCAGTTCTATCTGAGGGTCTTCCTGGTCTTTCAGATCAGGGGTGTCACTAGGCTGGTTTTAGGGGAGCTTTAGCCCATAACTGTTATTTAGCCTCCCAAATAAAAGTCCATTAATCCTTCAAATCAGTAGCTTTTCTCTTTCATTCATTATTATTCAATTATGTCATTATATCTCCAAATTCACAGTATACTGTTATAGCAGGGCACAAACTGGGGAATCCACTGCTGCCTTGGCTGAACAGCCAGAAACTCTCTAACATAAGAGGAGACAATCTTCTGCTGTTTAGCATTAGGGAGAAGTGTAACACCCGGCTCAGCCAATCATATCCAACCTTGTAGGTTGTGAGAAAATCATACAAGAAATGGGGGGAGGTCTCTGGTGCTACTCGCCCTGCAAAGATAACGCCAGTCTGCAGCTGCTGCAGATAGGATTTTGACTTAAAGCTCAGTTAAATAAACATTAGGTCTTATTCATAATACATAATAAGCACAGCAAACAAAGTTGCATTAAAGTTTCACAGTGTAAAACTTCAATCCGAACACCCAAAAATGCAGGAGATGATCACTGACTCGTCTTCCATTTGTTTTAAATTCCTCACTTGTTGAAACTGTTGAGTCACTTAAGTTCCTCAAAGTGCAATGAAAACATCACCTGCATCATCAACAAGTCTCAGAAAAGGCTGTTCTTCCTGCAACAGCAGAAGAAATTTGATTTACAGCACTGATCCAGTTCTACACAGCTACCATCACTCCCTGGTTGGGTGCTGCACCTGCTCAGGTTAAAGGTAAACTACCACCCTCCTGAAGGGATTACTGGGTGTAGTCTGCTGTCCATCCAAGACATCCAAAAGTCCAGAATATGGAAGCAAGCTAGAAAGATCACTGCAGATCCTTCCCACCCAGGCCACCAGCTATTAGCCGCTAGAAAAAGCTTCAGACAGTAAAAAAAAAAACATCTGCATACCATTCATTCAAAAGCATCTTCTCACATTTACTAGCACTCACTCGCCAGGTCTGAACAAGACTTTTCCCTCATACCTGTGTATTTTGTACTTGACATGTCCTACTTTGCATATTTCACGTATTACGGGCACACACTACAGTAGGCTACATTGTTGTAAATACCCTTTGCATTTAATTTAAATACGAAACATACGTACATACCCTTGCACATTGATCAGTCACATCCCACACTGCATATTTGCAGCTGCTTACAGAACAGTCATATACCCTGTTTTATATACTGTATCTGTGTCATTCTGTAACATTTGGTCCTCTGTGTCTCAGTATTTATTTGAACTACTTAATGCATGTATTGCATTTTACTTGCACTGTAATACAGCTACAATGACACTGCTGTGGTGTGTAAACTGTTTTTTCATCTAGAGGTCCATTCAGATACCCAATCCAGTTGTTAACACAACAAAGCTGCTGATGCAAATGCCACAGCTCTGTCTTTATATTTTTGATAGATTAATTCATTAAAAATTGCAGATGCTTATTCATTTCAACTTAGTTTCAACATTTCTGCTTTTTGCCCCACTTACAAACACTTTTTCAGCCTGGGGCGTTTGCTTAACTGGGTTGACTTCATTCCCTTCCTTTCACAGAACAGCTAAGTCATCATCTGTAAGCAAGACAAACTTCCGTCTAATTGGAGTCATTTTAAATACAGGCTGGTCATTAGTTTTAGCTTCAGGATAATCAAAAAAAGGAAAGTCATTTTTCTAAAGCCAACAGACTTCATAACCTACATACAGTGCAGGTACCTGGTCACTCATCGTACCAGCCACAATCAGCTGATCCTAACCAGACTCTCCCCAATTACTAAATACATTCATTACCAATGAAAAACATCCCCAGTTTAGAAATATCACTCTCAACTCCGCAGGAGCTCTATGACCCACAATGAACTTCAAGTTACTCTGATCTCGCTAAGTGAGTGACAGGCTGCATTCAGTGAATGTGTGTTATTTTATGTTATTTTAATGTGTGCTAGTTTATTATTTGTTTAAGTTAGGTCTCCCCCTGTCATACAGTGCTACCAAACTGGGATGGCGAAGGCTAAACAGCACATACTTTGCTCCACCTCTTCTCAAACTGCTGCTAAAACATTATTGGAGCTCAACACATTTGGAGAAGAATGATAAATTCTAATTCTGTTACGTCAGCTAACAGATGACCACGCTGGCTAGAATCATGCTGAGTGACGGCTGGGAGAACGAGGACAGTCCTGGTTCCCCAGTCACAGATGGCTGTGGCATTGGTGGGAATAGCAGTCTAGCCTTAGACATGTGCAGTTTCACTTTTACCAGAGGCAACATTTATGAAATTGCTATGCATCATACCATGACAACAATGTCACCACTACCCACCCAAAGGTGACACAATGCACACAATGACTTCGAAAACAGGTTAATTATGCACTTCCAACCTTCACAAAGATAAATAAAATGCAATGAAAAAATACAGTTAGCCTCTGAACGGCGTACATGTTCACTGCATTCCCAATACAGACACCTAACCCTGTTATTTTATACTGTGTCAGGTTTAGAAGAACTGCACATATAATAGGGAATACAAGTAAACTATTCATGAAGCAACACAGCATGTTTAAAAATTACAAACATAAGAAAAACAGGCAGGCAAAAGAGACAAAACAGGACCAGACAGTAAACCATAAGGCAAGATGAGAAAACACCACAATAGAGATTTTAATGTGCACAAATTAACAATGCATACCTCATTCTTTATCACTGTTTTCATAAAAGTGGTAAAATAATGAATATTCTAATACGTCAACCCTGTTACAAACAGCTACTTTCACAAAGCTAAAAACACAAACAGGAAGCAGGGACCTCTGATAAAACTCGATCTGCACAGATTTGGGGATATTTATAAAAAGTGAATTCATTGGTAAAATGTGTGTAGATGAAGGCAAGTTTCCAACCAGACGTACAAACTTCAGTCCAACTGGGCTACAAAACTACCAAAAATACAGAGTGTCTGTAGAACACATTTAGAATGGAACTGTTTTAGAACTAAGGGCTCAGGTTTGTACAGACTTACTGTCATCTCTCTCCTTCAGAACGATCGTCATCTTAGCAAACCAGTTTAACAGCTTCTGTATTTAACCCGACACAGAAACCCAGCAAAAATGAAAACTCACGGAATCTCTTCTACACGCTAAAGCTGTTTTTCACTTACGTCCCTCTCCAGTCTCTCTGAAATGATCTGATAATCTGCTAATCATACACTACCATACACTTAATACATTAAGCTTATATTATTGATCTCTGCTGAGAAGTAGCAGCTGGTGGTTTAGTTCTACACAGTGAACGGTGAAGAGGGCAGTAAAGAGTCACTGCAGCGCAACCTGAAATTAAAAGTGGAAATATTCACACTAGACGCATTTGCCACAAACTGCTGAGGTGAGTAGCAGCACACAGTCTCTGAGAAATGTACTTATTCATCCTGGTTATTCAACTATTTATTCAGCTATTTGTTTATCACTACTCTGTGTGTGTAAGTAAATGACTCAGTGTAGAACAACTGACAAACTTTTTAGAAAAATATATATTGAGACTGACAAATAGGTCTATGTATAAGCTAACTGAAATTAATTGTAAAATGATCATTATTTGATGACATATAATAGTTATTCTTTGACTGAATGTACACAGTGAAGTCCTGGGTGTGTTCTGTGACAGTGCTCTTGCTATAAGCTGCATTTTTGTAGCTCTGGAGTGTGAAGTAGCTCACATCACAAGCATTTTTGTGCTGAGAGATCCGATGAATGGGAATGCAGGTCTAAATTGGAGGAGAGATTAGTGGGTTCAGTCTGGGAGTGTCCTGAACTCCTGAGGTTTTTATGATATGTTGAAATGACAGCTGGCAATGAGAAAGAAAACTAACCCATACATTCTAGGAGGATGTTAACAACACAGCTACTGACAGTTGTGTCGCCTGCGCTGAACCAGAAACAGCGTTCAGATCCGTAATGTTTCCCCCTCTGTTACAGCTCACTGCCTGCTTCTGTATTTCAGCAAAGGACAGAGGAGTGAGCAGATGCTGTAGTGCAGCCTGAGGGGACAAAGGCCAGTGGCCGGCAGCTTCGAGCTAAAAGAGGTGAGCCAGGGATGCTGTACTGCTCTGACTGGCTATGGTCAGGTAGCAAGATGACCAATTTCACTTGTAATAATCATAATACAATTAATCATAATAATAATAATGATTAAGTACAACTTAACATAGAATATAACCAAAGGCACGAATACTGAACACTTTAAGCGTCATTAGCCTCACGTAAAAGTTGTTAAGCTTCTTTGAATTTTCTGGAGGTTTTGGGTCACTTCAGAGCGAACATTCAGCCTGCTGATCATGAGCTCTGTGTGATTTGTGTGGAGCTTTTTAAAGAGCATGGTGATCTAATGAATAATATCAGATATTCCTGATCAGCCTGTTCATGACAGTATAACACAGCAGTTGTATCAATAGTTTTTGTTGCACCTCCTTTAACTGTTTTTCATTTTTTCATAGATATACACTTACATTAATAATGTCTGCATGTTTTGTGTAAATGCTGTTTTAAATAAGTTGACCTCACTTCATCAGATAATATTGAGAAAAGAGAGAAAAAAGAGAACATCAGCAGGAGCCACTGGATTGGAAAGGACGTCTACTCTAAAGATGAAATGTAAGTGTATGTTTGATGTTTCTTTGTCAGTCAACACACTAGTCGAGACTTTAAACGGTCAGAGGAACACGATGTGTCGCCGGTGTTGACTGTGCACTGCATATAATCAGATTAATAACAACCAAAAAACTAAAGATTATTAGTTTTCCTTTCCACTATTTGTTTTTGTTACAAAAGTGCTTTGCAAAGAGTAGCAAAACATTTGAAAGAAAAAATATTAAATTTGATTTATATCAAATTGTAAATAAACCGAATACATCCTCAAAATAACAAGACATAAATGCTGTAAATTAAAGAATACAAAGTAAGAGAGACTCAGCTCCCATCAAATAAGCTGCAAGTTCCTTCAGGGGTTTTCAGTAAGCAAAGTGGGCTGGATGAGCTGTAACTCTGACATAACTGTAAGACATAACTCTAACAGGAAACCAAAATAAAGTAAACAACTTACATTTTCTTTTCCTGGTGAGCTCATGAGCTGCTGTATTCTAAGCTAGCTGGAGTCGATTTAAAGAGACAGTAGAGCAACTATCCAGTAACACAGGTCACAGGAGACTCAGCCAGCTTATGTTTGAATTTTCCCATTACACATTAAATGGGGTGGCTGAGACATCAGAATGTGACTGCTGCACTATTTAAGGTGAAATGGGAAAGTTCTAACAACAAGCTGGCGAACTGGAAGCCAACTTCAGCCTCTGTGGCTGAAATCAGGCCGATATGTAACGTAACTGCCCTGCAGTGAAGTTGAATGTTGGCTGTGAATTCCCAGCTAATGGTGATGCCAATGAAAGACTGCATTCAAGACAGTAAATGTTTAAAAGTAAATGTTTTAACATGTTTTCTACTCGTTTCTGAATTGAGTAGCTGCTCCAAACTGTGTAATTTATATGGAGATTTCTTATCCTGTGCAAATCAGCCAAACACATTCCAGAGGTAAACTGGCATTACCCACCTCACCATGGAAAACCTTAAATAATTAATGTCAGGGTTAAGGTGTGTGACTTTATTTCAGTGGACTGAGGGCCCAGTAGCAATATTTCTGTAAAGAAGGACGTTCCTGGTCATTCAGGCTTTTATGTCTTCCGAAGTTGAACATGTCCATTAAGTGTAGCTGTGTCAAAGAGTGCATTTACATGGACTTAACGACTGCAGAAATCAGATTGTGTCAGTAACTGGTTCAGTGTGTTTACACTTAATAATTTTAGAATCTTAATCATCTTCTACATAGAACCTTTTTGAAAGGTTAGCACCAAGGGTTCTTCTGTTGTAACAAGCTTGACATGGAAAAGAAGAGCCCTTTTCGGTGCTATATTGCACCAGGTTCTATTGAGAACAGTCTACAGCACATTCTCCATCAATCTAAAGAACCCTTTCAAGATACAAAGAAACCATTAATCACTCAAAGAGATCTTTGAGTGTTCATGGTTATACACAGAACCATTTTCTTTACTAAAGAACCCCTGAAGAACCATCTTTTTTAAGAGTGTACTACAAGATCACAGTCATGCTGTGTGGTGGGCAGAAACTGATCCGTGTCTTTCTGGATGGTAACTGTGAGTAATTTCTGTTTCTAGCACAACTGAATTATCTGCGCTGTGTGTCTGGAAACACTCTGCATTCAGATGAGGGATTTTTGAAAAAGCTGGCTGAACGAAAATCTGGCCTGAAGGAGGTGTCTAATGTGGAGGAGTGTGATGTCATTATTGGTTTCTGTCCTGTTGTTTCTCGAGCTGGAACTGATATTGAAGTAGCGCTGAAAAAAATTCAGGATTTATCAGGTACCAACTTTGCGATCAGACTGAGGCATTAATGTTCCCCCGCCTTTAAAGTTAGAATGATTTGGACGGAATGTGAAAATAATATGAATCATGTTTGATAATATTTTGTATGCATGCATGTTTTTCTTTGCTGCAGACACCAAGCCTGTCGCTCTAGTGGTTCTCCATCACACATTTGACCCGGAGTACATTGTACCGGACAGCAGCTGCAGTGTAAACAGAGAGAAAACTCTCACTGTGGACTGTGTGTTCCACGAGGACAGAGGATTCCTGAGATGCCGGAGGAATCAGGAAGCAGTAGATAATGTTCGGAAGTGGATAAAACTGGTATTTAATCATTTTCTATTGTTTTTTATTTAAATAATTAAAAACGTCCACCCACGTTTTCAAAATGCCAAGTTAAAATTTTTATTTATATACATTTCAGATTTGTTGGATAATTCATTGGATTAGCAATTCTTTATCATTCAAAGAGTTATATAACACATACTTAGAGAGATCCTGCACGTCATACAAACACTGATGTTTTGATCTCCCTTTTTAGGTAAAACCCCAAAAATCAAGTGAGCCAGCAGCACCTGTAGGTGAGTCTGAGTAAACAAGCATTAGTTGACATGCGACTAATGACATGCAGACACTCTGCCTGTATGCAGGTTTTGTCAATGAAAGAAAGCAGAAAAATCATTATGAGACTCATCATGGGTGTCATGAAAGCAACAAAAGTTATGGCCAAGAGAACTGTACAGGCCTGAATGCATGACCCCTAGAGTGGGGGGTCAGGGCTCAGGTATGTTGCAGGCATGTTTTGGGTCCACTAGTTCCTTGTTTGCCTGTGTTCTCATCACCATCACTGAGATGCCAACTGAGGGACTATCTTTTTGTAAGAACGGTGATCCAACCCTCCAGTACAGTTCCAGAGACTTGCACGTCAATCAGTCATGGTCCTGGTGATCTACCACTTTGCCAAGTTTAGTTCCAGCCCTAATCTAACGCCCTATTTGAGCTGGATTAGTTTTACCAGCTTTGCACCATTTAAGGTGGAACAGGAAAATTCGAATGAGAAGCTGGCCTCGTCTGTTTTCTATTAGCCAGTTTTGTTATTACATCACTGAGACGTGGATTTGAGCAGGACTGTTATTACTGAGGAGCTCAGAGTTTGGCGAATTATAAGAGATAAATTACTCCGGATTTATTATTGATATTACTATGGACATTGCAGATTCACACTGGAGTAAAGACACAAATTACAGCACGTCCCCAAGTAATACTAATGCCACTCAAAGCATTTATCAAAAGCGTTTGTGAAATGAATCAGTGACTTTTTGGTGCTGTGAGTAATTTCTGTTTCCAGAACTGACTGACGAACAACGGGCAGATGAGGAATTTATGAGCAAAGTGAAACCAAAAGTACCCGGCCTGGTTGAAGTGTCTAACGTGGAGGATTGTGACTTCATTCTGGTTTACTGTCACACTGTTTCTCCAGCTGATAGCAGTAGCACCACTGTAGCAGCACAGCAGATACTTCAGGGTTTACCAGGTACATAACTGTACGGTCAGACTGAAGCATTAATTAACATTATGGTGACTGTTGGTAAAATGTAAACAATTTGGTTATGGATTGATGGAATTAATTTACATTATTACATTTGAATGTGTCTCTATTCTGCTACAGACAAGCCTGCTCTTCTAGTGGGGCTCCATTACACTGATGATCCAGAGTACACGGTACCAGACAGCAGCAGAGGAGTAAACAGAGAGCACACTCTCACTGTGGACTGTCTGTACCATGAGGATAAGGGAATACTGCAGTGCCCGAGCAATCAGGAAGCCCTGCATAAAGTTACAGACTGGATAAAACCTCTGGTATTGAATCATTCAACACAGTTTAGTATTACTATTCAACATTACTATTCAACACAGGTTTTTATTACTGCTTTCAACCTTTAAACATCTATCCACATTTTCAAAATGCTAAATCCAAATTTTTAGATAAATACACTTCAGATTTGTAAGATAACTAATGTTAGATTAGCATTTGTTTATTATTATTTGGATGGGATTCCAGCGCCTTTTAGCTTCGGTAAAATGAGCCATAAAAACAGCCTATATTAGAATGTACCTGCTGCGTCATTTAAGATGGAACAGGAAAATTCAGAAGCTGGAGAATAGGAAGCCACTGCAGATCACCGTTTTCTGTGGCTAGAATCAGGCTGATACGTAACGTTACTGTTCCGTCTCACTTGTACAACTCAGAACATGTAAAAATTACAGAAAAAAGTTTGATTTTATGCAGTGAAGTTGACTGTTTGCTGTGAATACCCAGCTAATGGCGGTGCTAACAGCGCACTGCATTCAAGACAGAATGGTAAGTGATTAGGATAAACTAAATAACAGCTAAATTAAATGCTTTAACATCTTTTCTAGTCTTTTATGGAGGGAAGACAGCAATAAATCGAGTAGCTGCTTCATTTGTGTTATTTAGACCAAGATTTCTTATCCTGTGCAAATCACTCATAAACATCACAGATGTCCTGAGGCATCACCCTCCTCACCAAACTAATCCTGCCCGAATAGGGCTTTTACAAGTTAAAGTAAAAGATTATACATACCTGTATAGATCCTTCATGGTGTATAATGACTGATGATTTGATCTCCCTTTTTAGGTGAAAACCAAGTCTATATTTCAGAGGTGTAAGTCATACCTCACATTTTATTATGACTATAAAGGTTAAGTTCAGATAACTTTATTCTGTAGCACTGAATTTAAATCTACTGTATCCTTCCTCTTTAAACAGTTCTCTCATGGCTTTGCTGCTGTTTGCCAGCCTCATCCAAATCACACGCCACAGCTCCCAACCCCAAGGTGAGTATTTGGTCACTGCACTCATTCGGTACACGTAACAGAAAATTTACAGCACTGGCCTAAAAACAGTGATTCAGGCTTTGATTTTCACACTTGAAATAAATAAAACAAATTAAAAACTTCAAACTAACTATTCCATTTTCTCATTCTCACAATCTTTCAGTCAGTAAAAGAAAGTTGTGCACCATCAGCAAAAGAGCCAGCAGCACGTGCAGGTGAGTCTGAGTGAACAAGCACTAGTTCTGGAGCAGCTGTGTTATTTTATATCAGCTGTTTCTGTTTGCAGTTTCAGGATAAAAACACCTCCAAAGTCAGGGGCTTGTTAAATCTGAGATCCTAGTTTATTTTTTTTCTGGTTAATTTTTAATGATCTGTATATATCCCCATCAAAACTACTACAGAATCGCCCGATCGCATTCATTTAACCTGACCGCAATTATTTTACACAGTTTTATCACAGGAAACACAAGAAACTGGGTGCACAGTTGAGGAAAATCCAAGAAAACTATGAAAGATATGATCATTTTTTTTGTTTTCCACTTAGTTTTTATTTTTTAAGAACTTATTTTCGCTATGTTTCAGAAAATTGTATTTTTCTGTGCCTTTTATTTTGTCTACACTTGATTGAAATGCACTCTGTATGTTACCGCTACTGTAATTCAATTAACCAGTTAACGTTATTAAAGGAGATCCATCGCAATATTAGGGTCTCCTGTACTCATTCAATTTTCTGTGTGCACTAAAGGTTTTGCGCTAGCCCTGTGTTTTCAAGCTTGTTTATTGAAATATCTCTCTCATTAGTGTGAACTGCTGCACTCAAATCCAGCAGCACCAAAAGAGAGAAATTTCCACAATCTGAGAAAACCAGTGAATCACTACCTGCTTCAATCAGTACTGACTGCACTGAAATAATTCACGCTTGGTATTCTTTCTTAAAAAGTAACAAGAAGTACACAAAGAATTGCTTATTGTTTGTTTACTTAGCTGTGTACTACACATTCACAGTAACTGTGAGTAATTTCTGTTTCCAGAACTGACTGATGAACAACGAGCAGATGAGGAATTTATGAGCAAAGTGAAAAATGAAATACCCGGCCTGATTGAAGTGTCTGACGTGGAGGATTGTGACTTCATTCTGGTTTACTGTCACACTGTCTCTCCAGCTGAAGTTGATACTCTAATAGCACAGCAAATACTTCAGGGTTTACCAGGTACACAGATGTAAGGTCAGACTGAAGCATTAATTATCCACCTCAGTCCTGAGACTGAACACTTTAACAGGAACTATTTTTTATTATCAAATGTTCTCTAATACGTACTAAAAACATGAACTGTCCCTCAACAATTTATTTAAAAATAATGTCCATCAAATGCACAGGAAATGTGTAGGTTTTGAAAAACTAACATATTTCTTATCACCAACATGAGACACAAACCAATCACTGAACTCTTTTTGGTGTTTACTGTTCGTACAGCTGCATGAAAACATTCCTGAACTCTTGGAATGAGCTGAACTTCTTTACAGTCAGAAAACTAGATAATTTTAATACAGCTGGTACGTTAGCGTCACGCTAACAATGCACTCACTGGGTTTCAGATCACTTTTAGCAGCTCTATCAGCTTCTGAAAGCTGTAAAATGAGAAACAGTATGTTGTTGGGTATCCTCAGTTTGTCTCGTTCTCCGACCCTGTTTTCTGGCTGTAGACGGGATGGGAGGAGCTTTGTTACTCTAAACTGTCTCAGAGTCGGGGCTAGCCGCTCTGAGACTGTTAAAAGTAAAAAGATTCCCCTCAGAGCGGCTAGCTCCGACTCTGAGACCGTTTAGAGTAACAAAGTTCAACTTTATCACTCTAAACGGTCTCAGAGTCGGGGCTACACACACATTATCCACCCTGAAGTACAGCCAACACTCATGTCTGCCAGCATGCCGATTTGGTCTACAGAGCTACAATATCTGTGAAAAAAAAATTACAGCACACTGAACATTTGGAATGAAAAGGGCAAAGAGTCTGATCTATGTAAACAATTCAAGTATGGGTTGATGAAATTTACATTATTACATTTGAATGTGTCTCTATTTTGCTATAGACAAGCCTGCTCTTCTAGTGGGGCTCCATAACACTGATGATCCAGATTACACGGTTCCAGACAGCAGCAGAGGAGTGAACAGAGAGCACACTCTCACTGTGGACTGTCTGTACCACAATGACAGAGGACTACTGCAGTGCCCGAGCAATCAGGACGCACTGCATAAAGTCTCAGAGTGGATAAAACCTCTGGAGTCGAATCATTCAACACAGGTTTTCTATTATATTTATATGTAAAACGTCTACTAATCATGGCTATTGTTATTCAGTATCTAACTCAAGGCATCTAGTTACAGATAACTTCATTGGAAGTCACATGGCCAGCTTCAGTCTAGACAGTTTGGACCTTTACTTAAAATGAAAGTCTGAGAACCTTACAGTAGTGTCAGTTATATACTGAATCATCATATACTAGGGATGCAACAGTACAGTTGGTCCATGGTTCAGTATGCACAGTTTTTAGGCCATGGTCTCAGTATGTGAGAGAGAGAGAGAGAGAGAGAGAGAGCACAGAAACCTGTAGGTGCTTTGCCTTCTCTATTTAAGGTGTCCGTGTCACTAAATAGGGTATCTGTGTCATTTCGTTTTAATTTTAAGTTTCTCTCCACGAATGTTTCATAAAGTTTGGCAGTTACTGTGCTGCTGAAATGTCTGCAGGAGGGGACAATGTAAAGGCCACTGCACAGTGTAGTAGCACATAGCAGAGATCCTCTACAGAGTACGGGCAGGGAAAGCCGATAAACGGCAGGGTCAAGTTCATTTTTAAACTCTGCCCATATAAATTAGCTGAAATAAAGCGTTCAGCATCACTCATCACGCTTGGTATCAGTTTATTTCCTCTTCACAGACTGTGAAGGCTGACTGTAAAAGGCTGGGCTGCAAACATTAGCTGAGGTAACGTCGCATTAGCTGTTTACCTAAAACACTGGCTGCCAGAGTCACCGAGCACTGCTGCACTGTCTGTCTCACTAGCGCTCACCACTGTAATGCTGAAGATGAAAGACTATTTGTTTTTGTTCCTCCTCTCTTCTTCAGCTTATATTTGCATACAGAGGCCTGATTGGCTCCAGGTAAATTCTGATAGGCTCCAGAGATGTTACGTGGATCTGAATGTACAGCGTGTGTGTAGCCTCAGCATTTTGAAAATGATTGGAAAACAGGCTTATAGTACTACCACCTTTACACACTAAACTGTAGGGGGCGTACTGAATCGTTTGATAACATGCCGTGTACCGTTGCATCCTTATCATACTAGGAATTACACAAACTCGTTGACTAATAAACCAACTAGACGAGGACAGGGGCAGAAATACAGCAGGTGTTAAAACTGCAGTGGACAGACAGGAGGAGCGAACAGAAATCAGATTTTCAGGTAAACACAAAGAACAAAGCACTTCATCAGTGTGGAAACATGCAAGATGAAACCAATTCCTCTTGAAGCTGTCTAAGACTGGGCTGAAATATAGGCTTGTAAGCCAGATTGGTTAGGTTATAAGAACTGCAGACTGTCATAGGAAAAGGGCTGTTTGACTGACATGCAAAACGACCAATCACAATGTTTTGTGCATCTTGTTCTTGTTCACTTGGTACCAACACCGTCAAAAGTCTAAACATTCAGGAATAAGCATTACAACAAACTTTACAGGCATCCTTATTCTACTTCAGGAAAAACAGAGACTAATTATTCAAATTATCATTGCAAATCTGTAGTATTTCTAAAATAGGTGATCAATGCATTTTCTAAATTTGCTAATTCATTTTTTGTGTATAATTACAAAAAAAATCCTGCTTACACTGCGGACCCCGGTGTGGATGTCATTTTGTCAACAGATTCTAAAACGAATAAGTGACTATATTAATAAATGAGTGTGATTTGTAGACTCACATGTTGTAACATGACTAAAAACCTACAATTGTCAACTTATTTATTATAATTTATACAAATGATCAGCTTCTGAGGGGACTGCCTGAGCTTAAGTGCATAAAATACTGAAAAATTGGTTCCCAGTTTAAATGTTTTGTTATTTTCTCCTTTATTTTAAGCCATAAGGCTTATTATTCAGTAACTACATGGACTTCAATGCAAACAGGCTGAGCTACTCTTAGGTTATAGAAGTGTGTAGTAAAACTTTGGCCCTGCCATTGGGCCCTGGCCATCTTAGGGGTTAAAAAAAAATTGTCCTAACCTTTTGAAATATTTTGTGTTTTTGAACAGCAAACAAAAAAATGACAAACTCCATGTTTTTAAATTACTTATTGTGTACAAACATTCCTTCTTTTCAAAATGGTACATTACACACGATCATATAGATCCTTCACTGCATATAAACATTCATGCTTTCATCTTCCTCTTTAGGTACAAAATCCTCATCACCCACAGACACGTGAGCACCTCATTATTATTACTTCCAGTTTTGTTATTATACATATTACATTTGTGAAAACTGACTGTATGACACTGATATTTGAATCAAGTCTATTGTCTTTTGTGTTACTAACAGCAACCAGAGATCAAGAATTCCAGGTGAGTATTTAGTCTCTGCACTCATTCTGTAAATGTTACTGTTGTATATTTACAGCTCTGCAGATCAGACAAAAATTAGTGTTGAAACTTTCCAGACATAAATAAATATTCTATTTTCTCATTCCTACAATGCTTCAACAGGTGAAAACATCTACTGCACTGAAAGCAGCAGACCTGGCAGCGCGTGCAGGTGAGTCTGAGAATATCAGAATTAGTTTGGAGTAAATGTGGCTGTTATAACAATTTCTGAGGGAAGCTTTCCTGATAACAGAGCTCCTAAATAAAGCAAATCCTTCACAGCCAACAGCTCATGAAATACAATACAGCGCCCTCAACAATTATTGGCACCCCTCGTTAAGATGTGTTCTTAGGCTTCTAATAAATTCTTTTTTAAAAATAATAATATAGGACAACAATGCAAAATAAGAGAAAAATCCAACCTTTAATTCAAGTGCATTTATTCAGTGGGAAAAAAATCCCACATTAAGAAATAATTCTTTTACATGAAATCATCTGTGCCACAATTATTGGCACCCCTGATGTTAATATTTTGTACAACCCCCTTTTGCCAACAAGACAGCACTTAATCTTCTCCTATAACATTTCACAAGATGGGAGAATACAGAGAAAGGGATCTTCAACCATTCCTCTTTGCACAATCTCTCTAAATCGTCCAGAGTCCTGGGTCCTCTCCTATGCACTCTCCTCTTCAGCTCACCCCACAGGTTTTCAATTGGGTTGAGGTCTGGGGGCTGAGATGGCCATGGGAGGAGCTTGATTTTGTGTCTGGTGAACCATTTTGGTGTAGATTTGGCCACATGTTTAGGGTCATTATCTTGCTGAAAGACCCAGTGATGACCCATCTTCAGCTTTCGGGCAGAGGCCACCAGATTTTGATTTAAAATGTCCTGGTATTTCAAAGAGTTCATGATGCCATGCACCCTAACAAGGCTCCCGGGGCCTTTGGAAGAGAAACAGGCCCACAGCATCACCGATCCTCCCCCATACTTCACAGTGGGCATGAGGTGCTTTTCCGCATACTCATCTTTTGTGTTACGCCAGACCCACTTAGAGTGTTTGTTGCCAAAAAGCTCTATCTTGGTCTCATCTGACCAAAGCACACGGTCCCAGTTGAAGTCCCAGTACCGCTTAGCGAACTCCAGATGTTTACGTTTAGGCTTGTAAGTGAGAAAAGGCTTTTTCCGTGCACGCCTCCCAAACAGCTTGTTGGCATGTAGATAGTGCCTGATGGTTGTTATGGTGACTTTGTGACCCCAAGATGCTACTCTTTGATGCAGTTCTCTAACAGTGAGCTTGGAGAACTTTTTACTTCTTTTACCATCCTCCTCACTGTACATGGTGGCAAGATAAACTAAAGAGAAATAGGCCTCTGTGTCATGTCATATTTATACCCCAGGGAAACAGGAAGAACTACTGAAAATACGCCCTTACGTCCTCTCTGTGTGTTTTCCTTTCTTTTCTTCGTCGAGTTGAACAGCTGCCCATCCTGTGCGTCTGATGCTGCTGCCTCACCCTCACAACCTGACCCCACTGATACTACTGCTGTTGCTGCATGAACTATTCAAAATTATTCACTTGAACCAATCAATCATTCAAACTAATTCAAATTAATCAATCACCCATTGTAGAACTGACTCTGTGTTTTTCCTCTCTTTCCTTTGCCGAGTTGAACAGCTGCCCATCCTGATGCTGCTGCTGCCGCATGAACTGAACTATTCAAATTAATTGTTTCCTTCACCTTTTACCCTGTTTTTGTACTATAATACTTTATACTAACAATGTTTACTATCCGGTGTCGACCAGAGGAGGATGGGTTCCTCTTCTGAGTCCTGGTTCCTCTCAAGGTTTCTTCCTGTTTATCTTAGGGAGTTTTTCATTGCCACTGTCGCCACTGGCGACGCTCATGGGGGCTCGGACCCGGATTTCTTTCTGTAATGCTCATTTCCTTGTAAAGCTGCTTTGTGACAACACCTGTTGTAAAAAGCGCTATAAAAATAAACTTTACTTACTTACTTACTTACCTTACTGCCACACATTGTGGAAAATGTCCATTTCAGCCACATGTAAAAGGATAAATGAAGTATAAAAACATTAACAAGGATCAGACATGGAACGGACTTAAAATAGCCGACAACCTATCCATTAAAATATGCCCGAATCTTTAGTGGTTTTATTCCAGTAAAACTGAGTTTTCAATTACTCACTGCTTGCATAAATGTGTTTCCCCAGAGTTAATAGAAAGGAACAAACAACTTGACCTTCAGGAAATGAACACCCTGAACAGCACAGTGGAAACAGCAGGAAAGGAGCTGCACTACATCAGCTCACAACCACAGTACATGAATGAAGATTTTCAAAAGCCCATCCAGGATGTTCTGAGTTTTCTGGATTCAGAATGTGAGGAGGCTGTTGTCTAGACTCAAACCACACCTATAATCAGCAGCGTCCAGCCCTCTGAGAAGAATGAGATGATAAAGATACACAGTATGGCTGTACAATGACTCTGAGGTATAGTGACGAATATTACAGCCTCAGCTCATGACTGCAAATCATATGGACCAATTTTCATAAATAGATACAACTAGCAAAAAGCTAAGGAGTGACAGTGTAAGCTGTGACACTACAGCTGAATAATTTGAAAAAAAAAGAAAAAAAAACGACAGCACAGTGGATCTAGGCTATCTAATTACTGATAGTATTTTTGTATTGGAAATTTGGCATTTGGCATTACATTTAGATATGCAAATGAGACATTCTAAACTTAACCCTCTGGGTTCTGAGGCCATTTTTACCAATTTTCAAAATTCATATATCATGATCCTCATATGTTTCATATCTAAATGCTCCGTTATCTTCATCACTACTTTCCAAAACCGCTGCAGCAGCTTCAGCAGCTGTAAACTCTCTGCACGCCGTTTCACACGAGTCTCCGATGTGGACTGAATGAAGAATGAAGGGTTTCCAGCGTAATTAGTGCACCTTAGTGACTTCCTGAGTGTCCATTGGTCAGTTTCACACAGAATGTAGACGGACACACGAATCCACCAGCTCCACACGGTGAGAGGCAGATGACGTGTATCTCAGCCCCTCTTCATAGGCTCATAACTCCAGATGTGAGTCTCATATGATAAGATGGAATGGAAAGGGCGACTCTACAGATTCAGGAAGTGTCTGAACTGGATTTCTGAGCTGGATCATCACAAAGATACAGACACAGATATAGAATTTGATGCATTAGTGGACCCCAGAGGATTACAATATGCATACATGTGCAATTAAAAAAAATAAAATAAAATTAAGTCTGGGTGATGATACAATCAAACAGCTTATTTCACAGTGAAGACACTCCTCAGAAACTATTTTACTGAACAGCTTATTTAAATTTTGTTTTATTGTTTTATCCAGAACATCTGTACACTGATATTATGAAACATTTTCAGGTCATTTTATAATCTAGCATAAATTCAGCTATAAGGAATACATTATGAAACCCTTCTGTAATGGCCTTTAGAATATGGTTAGGAATGAACAGGTTAAATTCATGAAAGCAGGTTTTTAAGAAGCTGAGTTTGTTGGTTTTGAATGTGGAGAAAAGCTAATTTTGAGAAGATCAATTTTAATAACGGGCCTCAGAGCTGCTGAGCTTTTCTGTGATACATGACGTGACGTGGTTGTGCAGAATGTGGGTGGAGCTAAGCCTTCATTAAAGTTGCTAAATTCAGGAAAAAACAGTTAGTTGTGATTGGGTGTGAATAATCAAAAAGCACTGAAATAAACATATTTCTGTTGAGTTTTGATATTTTTAACAATTACAACTTAAGAGACGCCATTTCTGCCTGTAGTATCTTTGATCTTTTATTGTATCTTCAACCAAAGAATGCAAAAACTGTTTTCAGCAAAATTATAAAAGTTCTCAAAACACAAAACATCAGTAGATCTAATCGTGCTATCCATAACCATAACCTGTGTTACTGTAAAGTATGTTGGTTAAGATAAGCTCAGCTTTGTGCTTCATGTGCGGTACACACTGATGTTGATTACTGACCTTATTAACCTGTCTGATTAAGTTTAATTAACTTTAATATTTCATATCTAAAGCACTATATTGTATATTGCCACATACTGTTGGAATATTATAGATCTATATAGAATTTACTGGATGTATGTTAATATTACCCTATGTAGTTAATAAAGTTTCTTGAGTCATCTTGCTTATGCAGTTCATCCTTTTCCCTTAGGCTTATTATTATTAACAGAATGTATTTCATTTAATTTCTAAAGAGTGAAATATGCACTGCTGTCAAATACAGACAGAGGTGAAGCCATGAAGAATGCATTCCTTTTCAAGTTACTTATTCTTAGCCTTCAATTAGATCGGTCAGTTTATCTCAAGATGCCAATCTGAAATATGCTGTGACTGCCCGTGCTATGGTTTTTAGATCATTTTCAGCTTCTATCACTTACTAATATAATGACGTTATGACACATATGACTCAATGTACAGTGTATTCCACAGTCTTTGTAGTAGTTTTTTTTCTTAAGTTACTTTTTAGTACTGAATCAGTAATGACAAACATGAGGTCAGGAGTGTGGTCTGCGTTAAGAAGATAAGAAGATAAGAAGATAAGTTAATCTGTAAGCATGCAGAGCTATAAGGTTTTTCACCTTTTCCAGTGACCACACTGTGTAGGTCACAGTGGTCACAAAGAATCATAATGTTACAGCTTTTTTGCTGGCTGTCAATAAGATATGTAAAAGCTAACCAGCATGTTTGCTACGATATTTTGATACACGTCCAACCAAGGGTAACCTTCGATTTATCAGAAATAAAAAATACATGTCTGTAAGTTATAGATCACTTTTATGCAACAGAATCATGCTTGTATTTAAGTACTACTTTTTGTTACATTTTGGTAAATTCAAGTAAATTAGTGAAAAGTCCTATAGAAAATAATACACTCAGGAACGTTTTCTCTGTGGTGTCCAGGTAGATACAGCTCTCCCCCTTGTTAGGAGCTCAGGAGGTGGACTGAAGGCCTAACGCATTAGATCACGGTTGGGGAACCTGGTACTGGACAGCCAGTTTGTTTTTCTTCTCAATAAATAAATAATTCTCGTATAAACCAAAACCACAGATCACTCTAAGGAATACCATTTATTTCAGTGGTTGTCACTCACGTACTGCTTGCATTGTGTCCCCGAGTTAAAAGAAAGATTATAGCTGACAGCAAGGAGCGGTCAGTGTATATCTGGGATAGATCTTCTTTGCATGTATGAGGATACGTGTTTGAGAGCTGTTTGAGAATACATACTGACCAACTCCATAGAGAACTATGAGTGTGATGTTGCAGCATGCCTGAACTTCAGGGAAGGATAGCAGTGCTGGAGGAATATCTCAAAGAGACTAGTGGCAACGAGGAACCACCTCAACAGCGTGGTCCCGAAGGGCCAGGACTGCGCCACAAAACCGATGAGCAAGAGCATCATCATGGACCAGAAAGAGAATCACCACTAAAACCTACCGTCTGCTCAGTATAATGATGACTTCCCATGAGAAACGTATGAGATACAGCTGGACTCTGGAGGTGCTGGTGGTGCATCTGTCTCACAAGAAACTTTCCTCCATGTGGGACCACATATGCCTTCTATCAGCTCAACGGGCTGAATACAGCACAGACGGCACAATTTGGATGCCAGAAAGACACCACCTACCTGGAGTGGTGGAGCTGAGACCATTAGCTAACTAGTTTTCCTTCTTTGCTTGGCAGACAGACCCCAAAGGACCCCAGCCACCATCAGGAAATCCAGGAACACCTGGCCTTCCGGGCCCTTCTCTGGCATCTCACGTTAGAGAAGCTGGTCACGCAGCACCTGATGACAATAACCTACCACAAAAAAACAAAACCAAACAAATGAATAAAGCTGAATTACTTTACCCTCCGATCTCAGATATAAATAAACAAACAATCCCTTGTCAGACACTCCAGGCATTTAAAGTTCAAAGCTCACATTTGATGAACAAACTGTAGCTGGTGATTAGGTTGTGCTGTTCTGCACAGTGAACTACAGAGGGCAGTAAAGAGTCTCTGCAGTGTAAAATTTAAACAAAAGTGGAAGTATTTGTATCGCACATATTTGCCAGGAACTGCTGGGGTGAGTAGCAACAGTAAGACTTTGCCCCTAAATATAACGGTTTCTTCTGTTTGTTTAACTATTTAATTACCTGCTTATCATCAGTCGTATGCGTGTGTTCTTCACTGCTTGCTTTCTTCTGATTTCTGTCCCTGTGTTAATGCACTGCAGTGTTTTCAATTTTTACGCATTGTGTTTTATCACACATCTAAAACAGACAGCATTCTAGAGACTCACATTTAACCAGACATACAAAGACATAAATACAGGCATTTCTTTATCTTAGTCTATTAATGATGAGTGAAAATAAGAGACTACAGCTCTCACTCTGAGGAGGACGTCAGTAAGAGCCCACTGGAGAGGATGAATTCTTTATTTGGCTCCAGTGAAAAGGTCACAGGTGAGCGTTTATTTGATGTAGATTAGGTATTTCTGTGTCAGTTAACATGTCGATAGGAAAATTTAAAAGGAAGTGACATGAAGTGCTGTTTGTGTAGCCTGTGCTGTACACACTCTAGGAGGAGAACGAGCAATGTACTGCTAATGAAGCTGAAATAAACCCCTTATTTCATGGCTGTGGCTTGTTTTAGCTAGTTAGGTAAACTATAAATGAAGGTTAAAACACCTAAATAAAGGGTAAACAAACTATTCATCACCAGCCATGTTGGAGGATGTGTGTGAGTGAGGAGGCCTATCAGACACACAGCTTTTGGGAATGTAATAAATTGCAGTCTTTTTAGGAAAATGCATATGCTGTGATTAAAGACATTTTGGTCTATTTAGTTCCCAAAGAACACAAAGTGATGTTCCTTGGAGATTAATGACCATGTTATACATAACAACAGACATTAAGCAAAGATACTACTGATAGCAAGCAAAAGAGCAATAACAAGATATTAATAAGACTGGACTTCCTTCTACAGAATGGGCAGAAACTGTAATTGCCTGTAATTAAATATACTAGAAAAAATGACTTACGTTTGAGTGAGAGAAAAAGTATTTGTTAATAGGCAAGAAAAAGGCTGATGTATGAAAACATGAAAACTAACATGTGGATTAACTGACATTAACACAAGGACATTACATGTGTGTACACACTCCTCAGCTAATAAACAGATCTTTGCAATCATAGGCAACCCTTTTATTCTCTTCACGACTCCTTTACTTCCCTTCGATGTTCTGATTGTAACAAACCATTTATTGCGTATACATTAAAAAATTCAATAAACATTAAAGTGTCAAAACATCTATAAACACAATACGAAACAGTGTTTAACTGCAGTCAGATATATCAGTTAAATGTATCACTAGGCAGGCCTCCATGAGGAATTTTATACTATAAATTTGATAATACTTTCAGGTGTTTGCCAATGATCAGTACTATTTTTTTTTTTAATTAATTAAAAAATGCACACTTTTAGAGGCCCACAAACAGAAATAAATTGAACAAATGCATGTAAAACATGATTAACTGAGATGCACA